ATTTGGTATATTACAGACCTAGTAATGATTTCTAGATAAAATTTTCAGTCACAGTTTTCCGATTTCTTACCTTTGAAACGGATGAAAACAAGTGACTTTTGGCCCGAAAAATTGGGTTGATAGGCTATGCCCTGCCATGATTGTAGAGCTCAAAAAGAGCTTCGATTTGGTGTATTATAGGCCCAGTAACGATATCTAGATAAATAGTTATTGCCGTTTTTAGTCACAATTCTCTGATTTTTTTCTTCCAAAACTAATGAAAACACGTGAATTTTAGCCTGAAAAATTGGGTTGGAGGGCAAAGTATAGGCGTAGTAACGATATCTAGATAAAAAGTTATTGCCGTTTTCAGTCACAATTCTTCGATTTTTTTCCTGCAAAACTGATGAAAATAAGTGACTTTTGGCCTGAAAAATTGGGTTGGCGGGCTATGCCCTGCCATGATTATTTAGCTCGAAAAGGGCTTCGATTTGGTATATAATAGGCCCAGTAACGATTCGTAGATAAAAAGTTATGGTCACTTTTAGTCACAGTTTTTTGATTTTTTTCCTCCGAAACTGATGAAAACAAGTGAATTTTAGCCTGAAAAATTGGGTTGGTGAGTTATGCCTTGCCATGATTGTAGAGCTCAAAGAGAGCTTCGATTTCATATATTATAGGCCCAGTAACGATATCTAGAAAAAAGTTATTGTCGATTTCAGTTATAGTTCTCTGATTTTTTTCCTCCGAAACTGATGAAAACAAGTGAATTTTTGCCTGAAAAATTTGGTTAGTGGGCTACGCCCTGTCATGATTGTTGAGCTCAAAAAGAGAGTCGATTTGGTATATTATATGCCTAGTAACGATTTGTAGATTAAAAATTATTGGCGTTTTCAATCATAGTTCTCTGATTTTTTTCCTCCGAAACTGATGAAAATAAGTGAATTTTGGCCCCAAAAATTGGGTTGGAGGGCAAAGTCCTGCCATGATTGTAGAGCTCAAAAATAGCTTCAATTTGGTATATTATTGGCCCAGTAACGATATCTAGATAAAAAGTTATGGCCGTTTTTAATTACAGTTCTCCGATTTTTTTCCTCTGAAACTGATGAAAGCAAGTGAATTTTGGCCCGAAAAATTGGGTTCGCATGCTATGCCCTATCATGGTTGTTAAGCTCGAAACGAGCTTCGATTTGGTATATTATAGGCTCAATAACGATTTCTAAATAAAAAGTTATGGCCGTGTTCAGTAACAGCTTTTTGATTTTTTACCTCCGAAACTAATGAAAACAGTGGATTTTGGCCCGAAAAATTGGGTTGGCAGGCTATGCTTTATTGTGATTGTTGAGCTCAAAAAGAGCTTCAATTTGGTATATTATAGGTCCAGTAATGATATCTAGATAAAAAGTTATGGCCGTTTTCAGTCACAGTTCTCTGATTTTTTCCCTCCAAAACTGATGAAAACAAGTGAATTTTGGCCTAAAAAATTAGATTGGGGGGCTATTCCTTAGCAGGATTGTAGAGCTCGAAAAGAGGTTCAATATGGTATATTATAGGCCCAGTAACAATCTATAGATAAAAAGTTATGGCCGTTTTCAATCACAGTTCTCCGATTTTTTTCCTCCGAAACTGATGAAAATAAGTGAATTTTGGCCTAAAAAATTAGGTTGGCGGGCTATGCCCTATTATGATTGTTGAGCTCGAAAAAAGCTTCGATTTGATATATTATAGGCCCAGTAACGATTTGTAGATAAAAAGTTATGGTCGTTTTCTGTCACAGTTCTCTGAATTTTTTCCTCCGAAACTGATGATAACAAGTGAATTTTGGCCCGAAAAATTGAGTTGGAGGGCTGTGCCCTGCTATGATTGTAGAGCTCGAAATAAGCTTTGATTTGGTATGTTATAGGATCAATAATGATTTGTAGATAGAAAATTATGACCGTTTTCAGTCACAGTTCTCCGATTTTTTTCTTCCAAAACTGATGAAAACAAGTGAATTTTTCCCTAAAAAATTGGGTTAGTGGGCTATGCCCTGCCATGATATTAGAGCTCAAAAAGAGCTTCGATTTTGGTGTATTATAGTCCCAGTAACGATATCTAGATAAAAAGTTATGGTCGTTTTCAGTCACAGTTCTCTGATTTTTTTCCTCCAAAACTGATGAAAACAAGTGAATTTTGGCCCGAAAAATTGGGTTGGCGGGCTATGCCCTGCCATGATTGTTTAGCTCGAAAAGAGCTTCGATTTGGTATATTATAGGCCCAGTAACGATTTGTAAATAAAAAGTTATTGCCGTTTTGAGTCAGAGTTGTCCGATTTTTTTCACTGAAGTTGATGAAAACAAGTGAATTTTGGCCCGAAAAATCAGGGGAACAAAAAAGGGCAAGGAGAAAGGGAAAAAAAACATAAAGGAGAATTAATTGTAAAACATCTAAAATAAAGACATATATCTAAGCACGTAAACAAATAAATTGCAAGTAAACATGTCAATGCCATTAAGTAATGATAAAATAGTGAAGCTATAAATCAACGAAAGTAATAAAGCAAACAAAAAGCAAATATTAATGACGTTTGGGCAAAGTAAACAAAAGATATTAATAGTACCTGAAACACTCCAAATGCTGCTCTAATTATTAGGTATCAACCAACCACAGGTGAACACAAACACTCAAAGATAGAAGGATAAGGAAACAGAGCAGTAAATGATGAAGGGTGAAATGAAACAAAGTGATCACGGGTAGAACAACAACAACCACAACTAGTCAAAGACGCAGAGGTCATGAAGCAGAACAATAAATGAGGGATAATAGAATTAAATTGTGAAGATGAGAGATAAAACAAAGCAGCAGAAACAAAAGAATAAGCGCAGGAGAAATAGACAAGAACATGCATTACAAATCTGTGTATGCAGCAACATTCATAAATGAAGAGTCAAAAAGCAGCATGAACAGTAAACAACGCCTAATAATGTAACACGTAATATTGTGCACTGAGGTCAGAAAAATTAGCAGATAAAAATCACCTAATTAAATCATAAAACCAATACAGTCCTAGGAATAATTTAAAAAGTAGCAGGCTCAGAAAAAATCAAACGCAAGAAAGAGGAAAAAAGAGAGAAAAAAGTACAGAGGGTTTTTTTTCCCCCTAAAATTGCCAAGGATTCTAGATAATGCAAAGTAAAAATTAGTGGAGACTCCACAAAATTTAAAAAGAAAAAATCACCAATTCATTTAATGTGTCCGTAAAAAAATAAGTACAAATCATCAGCCCGTCAACCGGGGAAAGCAAGTGGCCACTATAAGCATCCCAAGTCATCAATGCAATAAATGAAGAAAAGAAAACCAAGAATTACCCATACACGACACGAAATCAGCTAAGAAAAAGTCCACCAATACAGATAGAATCCCAGCACAAATAAATCCATCAAAGGAGAAGATAACGAACCCGCGTAGAATTTGAACTAAGCAGTATTAGTTAGCAAATAAAATACTATAATACATAAATATAAAGCAGCAAAGGAAGCAACCAGAGGGGAAAATAGGAAACAAAAAATAAAAAATAAGAAGTAACACATTGGAAATTAAAACAACCATGGAGAAAAAGCTCTAATGCATATAGAACAATTAACGAAGAAAGCAGGTGGGGGAAGAAAAAAAAAAGAGCAAGAAACCGAAAGAGAGAGGGAAAAAATATTAAAAATAACAAATAACTATGAACAAAAAACTTTAATCAATATAGAACAACTAACGAAGAGATCAGGGACGGAAAAAGGGAAAAAAACCGAAAAAATTAAGTGAAAAACATGTAACCCATGAAGAATGCATAAAAATCGAAACGAAAAACACAAAACAAGGCAAGGAATAAGCAAGAAACGGAAATCGAAGAGGCGTGGACCAAGAACGGAGGGAAAATGGACCATAAATCGAGAATGCAAACGGGGAAGAACCCTAAAAAAAAGCAATAAAACCCCCAAATTTACACCCAAATCCCACCGGAGGAACCAACACACCGAAACCAGAAAGGAACAGCCAAAAAATTCCAACAATAACAAAGCACGAGAGCAGAATCAAATCAGAAGAAGACGAGAGAAAAAAAGGGGACGGAATCGGCAGAGAAGAAGAAAATCAAAGGGAGAAAGAGTATTAGGGCGAAAGGATGGAGACGCCTAAGGTGGGCGAAAGGTCAAAAACGCTCACGACAGAGGCAAAATGAAAAATAAGAAAGCAGGGGCAAAAGCGTTCGAACACAACCCGACACCTAAAAAGACCAAAATACCCACCACCCACATACAGAGGAGGGGAATAAAAATGGCAAAATCGTTACTCCACTGCACAATCAACAGTAAAATGAGTGTGCATGAACAGTGATTTGGAAGTCTCCTTCAGTATATGTAGGGGTTGTTCTTTTGTAACGAAACTCAGAAAAAGTTTGAACTCGAGTTACAACTTTATTCAAGTTCATGTTCTTTTGTAAAATTTAAATTTGAACTCGAGTTTGGGGCTGAACTCGAGTTCAAGTTTCCCTTTCAACTCGAGTTTATAAACTCGAACTTAAGTTAATGAGCATTATTTTTTATATTTTTAAAAATGTCATAACTTTTTCGTTTTAATTCTGATTGAGATGATTTTTTTTTCTATGCATTTACAACGAAAAGACGAATAAAACCTCACCTATATACCGTATTAACATTTTTCATCATCATTGATTTTTTATTAAAATACTATCTAAATACAAATTTTAAGTTTTGACCAATCCAAATATAAACTCAAAAAGATTCTAAATTCAAATCATAACTCAAATGTGTACACTTAAATATAAACTCAAGTTACAACTTCAACTCAAGTTATAGCTCAAACTTAAGCCTCATTCACTTTGCAGATTCGAGTTTTCAATTCGAGCTGAAATATGATATTTTTTAAGAATTTTTTACTATAATAAAAAAAATTAAATGTGATATTTTTTAAGAATTTTTTATTATAAAAATTAAAAATTAAAAATTTAAATCGGTTAAACGAAGGTGGCTCAATATCAGTGGCATCACATATCTCCGAGGTGGTCTTGAACTCGGACCATTTCTCAGTTCTCCAGTGGTTGTGGGCCGCACAATTTGCTCTCAACTCCCTAAGCTTCTCTTCTTTTCCTCTCTCCGGTCTTCCTTTCCGTTTCCCGCCGGAATTCGGATGGCGGAGAAACAGCTGATCGTCGCCGTCGAAGGCACCGCCGCCATGGGCCCCTACTGGCCCACCGTTCTCTCCGATTACCTCGAGAAGATCGTCAGGTTTATTATTCGATCCTTGTCCTCTTCTCAATGCTTTTTCGAAACTCAATTTCTTTTGATAAATTTTCTAGAAACAAAATTGTTTGTTTGTTAGGAGTTGGGGCCCTTTTCTTTAATTTCATTTCCGTGGCTTGAGTTATTTTGTCTTTTGATTGTTGATTCTGGTTCAGATTTGTCGCTGTGAGGAAAACTCTTCCTCTGCTTGTACATTTCTACTTTTCTTAATAAAGTTCTGTTTCCTTTCCAAAAAAAAAAAAATTTGTTTGTTTGTTTGTTTGGTTGGTTTGATAAGTTACCGGAATTTGGAAAGAAAAGTCAGAATTTTGATGTTATTGTCGAGTGAAAAAGGGGCTGATCAGTGTTAATTTGTTCTGATAACTGTTTCGTGGCTTTGGAATTCAATTTGATTCTAGTTCTTTTTTTTTTTGAGATTTGAAGATGCTGCTTCTGGTTTTGGAATTTATTCTTGGATCATAGAGTTTTAATCCAGTTTTTAATTTGTTTCGCATATAATGAACCTTAAAAAGTTTCTTTAGAAGCACAATCTCCTTTTCCAAAACCCTAATTTTGAATATAACCAATACAACAATGTCGTGTTTTTGATGGAGTTTGATCTAGTTTCAATGGAGGATTAAATTTACTCATCATAACTGTTGTCATATTATTAGGCATGACTCATTGGGAATAATCAGTAAGTTGTGTGTATGGACAGTTTCAATGATGTTGAAAGCAGTTTATCGAAATTGAAACCCTATTAATTTTGCAATTGCTAGTTGTTAGCGTCAATTTATTTCCTAATTCGAGCTAGAAGACGTGATGGTGAATAGCCGGAATCTGTTTCATTTTGACTAGATATGGGAATCATGATTATACCTGCAACATCTGTGCTTTTGGATTAATTTCCTTTCATGTGTTGTGCGCCCGGTGCGGGAATTAATTAACTATTTATTGGCTGGTCTTGAAAGGAAAAAAGATGTTTGCTGCTGTAGGATCAAGAATTGTAATTGTTATTAGTTGGACCTTCATAGTACAATACCGGATTGATATGCCACATTTTCTTTTGTGGCAAAGCAACCTGACCATGGTTTTGCCACTACAATCAAAATTTCTTTATGCTACATCATTCGAGTTAGTCATTCTCTAAATACGGGCTTATGAATTTTAAAAATATGAACTTCAAATGATGAAATCCATACAGGACGGTGGTTTTTAGATGGCATCGCAGCTATCTTAAAATAGTGATGCATAACTGACAACCTTGAAAAGTTTAACTTTTGATAAGGTAACTTAGCTTGGTTATATTTCTTATGCGTAATAGACACAATAAGTTAGTGGCAAGGGGTAGTTCTCTTTTAAGGTTTCTAACTTGAGTTCTCACTGTTCAGTTTGCTTACTTTACTAGTTTGATTTTTTTTCCCCCGCTAAATTACAAATTCATTCATGTGTATGTGTTTTGACAAGAATTAAGGATATAGTTTTGTGATTGTGTAGTTGCAAGCGTATAGGTTAATATTACTACGTGTGGGAAAATACAATCTTCATACAGTTGTATTAGATAGTTGACTAGGAAAATCCCCTAATATGAGGGATTTGAGATAGGGTAGATTCTTGATTTACCACTAGGGATTGATTGTAACAGCTAGGGGTTAATTGTACATATATGTAACCTTCTATGTAGAATATGAATCAATTGAGAAGAGCAATTTTTCATACTTTTTTTTTCCTCTAATTTTCCACATGGTATCAGAGCTTTAGGCTCGTTTTCTGGGAAATTGATCTCTCTCGGCCTTTCTTGCCGTTCTTCTCTGTCTTTTTTCCATAGCCTTAATGGCCATCTTCAGAGAGCCTTCATTGCTCAAATTGTCAGGGTCTTCATTGCCCAGACGGTTGTTGTTCATTTCCTAGCACCTTTGATCTAGGGTTTTTACCGCTGTCTGACATCTCCACCATTGTTCGTGCACCATCATCAGAAGGGTTCAAATTGTCACCGCCATCTGCTAAAGCTCAGATCGTCCCCGCCTCATATCGTCGCCGCCATCTCTCCAGTTTGAATCATCGCCGGCATCTGCTATGGTTCGAGTTGCTACCATCTTCTACTCCGGTTCCGATCATTGCAATCGCCCCCCTCTGCTAGGATTCCGATCATTGCAACCGCCGTCATCTGTTCAGAATGAGCTGTTACTCTTAAGTCGCGCGCCTCGGACGAAGAAGGAGAAGTTTGAAATTGTTTGAATGACAAATACAGGATATGTTGGCCTTTATTGCCATTTTTTGGGAGAGCCTTTCTTACCGTTGACAACTCTTAACCTTCATTGTAAGTTTCTGAGGAGAAAAATATAAATCCTTTCTTGATTTAATTGGTGCAAAACCGGAGTATAAATATGATACAAAAGGACCTAGTTCCCGTGGCTTAGTGAATCCGGGAAACTAACCCTAATAGGATAGAGAAACTATCCTCAAGATATTCCTAGAATCTTTCCTAAGAAATAGGAACTGCCCCCTAAACTAGGAGAGATATGCGATATGGAGAGATATGCGATATGGAGAGATATAAACAATATCTCCTAATTTAAACAATATCTCCAAATTAATTATTTAATTAATGTACATAATTCAATACTCCCCCTCAAGTTGGGTCATAGATGTCTTTTAAACCCAACTTGCTAATACAAGAATCAAACCCTGGTCTAAACAATCCCTTGGTTAAAATGTCAGCTATCTGTTGAGATGTTGGTAGGAAGGGTAAACACACTGTTCCGGATTCCAGCTTCTCTTTGATGAAATGCCGATCTATCTCCACATGTTTGGTGTGATCGTGTTGAACCGGGTTATTAGCAATGCTAATGGCAGCCTTGTTGTCACAGTAAAGCTTCATTGGAGCTTCTATTGTTAGTTGAAGGTCTCCTATAACCCGCTGCAGCCAAATTAATTCACATAGCCCATTAGCCATTGCTCGAAATTCTGCCTCTGCACTGCTACGGGCAACAACACTTTGCTTTTTGCTTCTCCATGTAACTAGGTTTCCCCACACAAAGCAACAATATCCAGTTGTAGACCTCCTATCAGTCACGGATCCAGCCCAATCAGCGTCTGTATAGGCTTCAATTGTTCGGTTGTCATTCTTCTTGAACATTAATCCTTTTCCCGGAGAACCCTTGAGATATCTAAGGATTTGATAGGCAGCTTCCATATGAGCTTTCTGAGGAGAATGCATAAATTGGCTTATCATGCTCACGGCAAAGGCTATGTCTGGTCTAGTGTGTGATAAGTAAATCAGCCTTCCAACCAACTTCTGATATCTCGTAGTATCAACCCTGTCCTCCTCACTCATTCCGAGTTTTACATTGGGATCAATAGGAGTATCAATTGGTTTGCACCCACTCATTCCAGTATCTTCGAGAAGATCGAGTACATACTTCCTTTGGCTGACCATTATTCCTTCTTTAGATCTTGCTATCTCCATACCTAAGAAATATTTTAGGTTCCCGAGGTCTCTGATCTCAAAGGGTATCGTCTCCTGTTAAGATAATGTCATCCACATAGACAATAAGGATGGCAATTCTTCTTTCCTTTGATCTTCTAAAGAAGAGTGTGTGATCTGCCTGGGCTTGAGAATAACCTTGTCTTTTTACCGAGCTTGTGAATTTCTCAAACCATGCTCGTGGTGATTGTTTTAGCCCATAGAGAGATTTCCTCAGTCTGCACACCTTTGAACCAAACTTTTCTTCAAAACCGGGTGGAGGATCCATAAAAACCTCTTCTTCTAAATCTCCATTTAAGAAGGCATTCTTGACATCTAACTGTTGTAACTCCCAATCCAAGTTTACTGCGATTGAGAGAAGAACCCGTACAGTATTTAATTTAGCTACTGGTGCAAACGTCTCAGAGTAGTCTATGCCATAGGTTTGAGTGAAACCTTTGGCTACTAGACGTGCTTTATACCTTTCTAGTGATCCATCAGATTTGAACTTGACCGTGAATACCCATTTGCACCCCACAGTTTTCTTCTCCCTTGGCAAATTTATAACCTCCCATGTCTGATTCTTCTCCAGAGCCCTCATCTCCTCTAAAACAGCCGCTTTCCATTCGGGTACCTGAAATGCATCTCTAATACTCTTCGGAATTTCCACGTGTGAGAGTTGAGTAACAAAGGCACGGAAACAAGGAGATAGCTTTTTATAAGAAACAAAATGAGACATGGGATATAGAGGACGCCTAGTGCATTCTCTAGTTCCTTTTCTTAGTGCAATAGGTACATCAAGCTCATTTGAGAAATTTTCAGGGATTGGATTCAAACCTGGAACTTCTGGACTTGGTATCGAGGTTGATTCTTGACCATGCTGTAAGTCATTGGTCAATCCACTTGACTTTGGTTCTCTTCTTGAGAAAACTATCCCAAACCTGTTTTCAGTGTTATTTCTTGTTCTAATTTGACTAACACTAGAAGGAGTCAAATTTTCATTATTTAAAACATCTGTAGGGTTATTCTCTTGATCATTCTCTTCAGAATTTTCGGAATTATTTAGGTTTTGCAGAAAATCCGAATTTTGGAGGGCAAATTCTGAGGAGAAATTTCTAAACAGAGATTCACCTTGAACATGAAAGTCAAAGACTATTTTTTCATCTCCCCCTAAAGCCGAATCTGCCTGTGTGTGCTCCCCTTGAAGATGAGGCTGAAAAAACGATTGTTTTTCAAAAAATTGCACATCAAAGGTGACAAAATATTTCCTTTTTTTTGGATCATAGCACTTATATCCTTTTTTACTTGGTGAGTAGCCTAAGAAGACACACCTAGTTCCTCTAGGATCAAGTTTTCCTATGTTGACATCTTTATTGTGGATATAAACAGTGCACCCAAACGTTTTCAATGGCAGAGTTGATTGAATTTTTGTTTGGGGAAAAATTTTGGAAAATTCACTTATAGGAGTGGCAAACTTCAAAAAGGCATTCTATTTATCAAAAAGGTTGCTGTTAAAACAGCGTCTCCCCAGAAAGTTTTT